CTTCGCTCATCTGATTATGAGATCTCTACTATCGATCGCTAACCCATCTCAAGCAACCTCTAGGCTGACTGTGTCAAAAAATTATTATTATTATTATTATTATTATTATTACTATGATTGTTATGATACTGATTATTATTATTATATAATTTTAGTTGTTAATTATTATTAAAAAATTACAAATCGTCTTTAGAACATAAATATCCTCTTTATACGACTGGGTGTTTTATGCGTATTTGGTTACTTAATTTCAGCTACCGGCCTCATAGCAAACTTATTTGCACTCCCTCGGTATTTTATATTTCTCCTAAATCACTCTCTCCTTTTTAGGCTCTCGCATTACGGGAAAACTCGAGTTGGGCAGGGCCAGTCTGGTTATCCGCTACGTGCAGCCGATCGACGCTGGAGTCTACACCTGCCATATCAGCACGGAATACGGAGAAGCCGACAGCCAGCCGGCTCGATTGGGCTGCGAAGCGACGGGAACCATCGACGGAGGCAGCCAGTTGCCAGGCGACAAGTCTCGTGGTGAGGATGAAGTAAAGAACATTGGAGGATAAGGAATGGTTCGGTTGGTTTGTCTGTCAAATGGCCTGGCGCCTTTTTCAGAGAGTAAACATGAACAACTTTGCCTATCGAACATAAGAATGATCTGAATTGGGGTATTTGAGAGATGGTAACTCTTCATTGGCCACTCAGTTTCCTCTCCTTTGAGATGCCTCTAGCCTTGAATTACTGGCATCTTCGAAGTATACTACTGCTTTGAACAAAGGAAAAGTTTACAAAAGAACCACTTAACATATAAAATGTGCTTTAGCATTAGAAAAACCCTAAAATAGACAAGCCAATAGCTGCTATAGCTGCTCAAAAAGAAAACAAAATTTTTAGTGCCTTTTCTGACCGGATAGAACACTCTGGAGTCTGTTAAAATGCATCGTTTGAACTTGCTGATACCAACATTTAACATTGCTCTACTAGTCTTGTTTACATTTACCCTGAAGTCATGGAAACAACAGTCCTTTAGTATGGGATGAATGGCTCAGTGCCGTTAAAGTTTAGAGCCCACCAGACCAGCTCGACATCACATCTCCTTACGGTAAACAACTAATAATGAGTAAACGAATTCCTCCTTCATTCATGACTCTATTTTATAATTAAGAAGCATAATTTTTTCTTTGCTCTCAGTGGAGTGACTTTTATTTTCTGGCCTACAATGTAATTAAATTAGACTATAGAATCTTGCAGACAGTTGACTATTCTACGGGCTTACTCTTGCAGAATTGTTTAACTCCATAGTTTTAGGGAATTACGAAGCAACCCCTTATCCAAACACTTACCTTCAGTCTTCAGTTATGCACCTGATCGACTAGTCTAGCCCGGATTCCCTGGCCTGCCTTTGTTGAGTAACGAAGGCTAGCTCCCCGACTAAAATTTTGTCATAATTATTCTGAAAAATTATGCTGCTCTCGAGTCCTTTAATGTCACATAACTTGGCTATATTACATAGTTTTTCACTGAAAAGTAGGTCTTCGAGACTACCAGACTATCATATATATATATGGGGTGTGTTCGCCCTGGATGGCAGTCCAGGCTGGATGAGAATACCTTTTGGGAAGCAAAACAATGCGGAATTCAATGGAAACGTAAGGTCTACTCATATAATTGTGGGAAAACTTAACTACCAGTCCCCTTATCATCTTAACCAAATTGGA